TTAATAAAATTAAATTTTAGAATTTAATGGTTCTGTTAGAATCTTCCACATTGGCTGAAGCTAGGATGAGAACTTAAAATAAGAAGCTGCAGAACCAAAAAAAAAAATACAGACTCAGTAGAGGTCAGGTAATAACTACAGATACAAATATAATCTCTCTGGTTTCTTAAAGACACTAACACTCAAATAAGAACTCAGAGCCATCCACACAGGACTTTTGTTTATTTAAGAGAGCTTTTTGTAAAATGAGTGTAGCACAGTTATTGGGACATTTTCAGATCCCCAAACCAGGATGAATACATGTAGATTTGGAGGCAACAAGTCCAAATACACGAAATTGAGACTGTGGCAGGTTATCTTGTATAAACTAGGGAGCACGATTTAAAAGCTTCTTTATTTAGCTCTCCTAGTCTGTGAACTCTCTCAAATACTTGGCACAATGATAACTTTAATGCCACTTTTGCAACTGTTTCAGCTCCCACAAGGTAACAATGCAGGAAGGATCATATATGTGATATATAAATCTATGTGCTTTTAAATTTTGTGCAAAGGTTATATGCGTCTGTAAGTCTACATATTTTTATGGAAGTTTTTCCAGGCTTTGGAAGACGACATGCTTGGAAAATTAGAGTCAGGGAAAAAGAGGAAGACTCTCAATGAGATGGATTGACATAGTGGCTGCAACAATGGGCTCAAACACAGCAACAATTGTGAGGATGGCGCAGGACCAGGCAGAGTTTCGTTCTTTGCATGTAGGGTCACTATGAGTCAGAACTGACTGGATGGAATCCAACAACATGTGAAGTAAATAAGCAATGAAAAGGCACAGTGCTTGAAACGATGTTCCAGTTCTCAAAGAGTGACTGCCTAAGGTTTGGGTAACATTTTTTCCTAGAAAATGAAGGCAATGTTATAATATGAACAAGATATAGAATTTCACTTCACAACTCTTAAGAAATTCACATAATGTGTACATAAGGTGATGCCCAACAGTTTATTTGAGTCAAACTGAATAAATATACTTCACCTATCCAGAGGTCACAAAAAAACCTTCAACTATGTGGAGCAAGGCCCTTCAAGTAATTGTGATAGAAGCTAAATATTGAAAATTAAGAACCATGGATCTTAAACAAAGACTATAACATAAGGCAGAAAAGGGGGCTCTAAACAAAACAATGTAAGGTTTATATATTTAAGTTTATACCCTTTACTTAGAAGAGCTAATATTTACTTGTATGTCAGATATGAGTGTAATGATCTTGATTATAAGAATAAAACATGTATATAGTAATTTAAAAAGAGCTTTACTGTCTCCTTTAGGCACAGCTCACAATGGAATAGAAGTTAGTGATTAGAAGAACGAGACTGAGGATGTAGAAAGAATGTGCTGCTAGAAGTGTACCATCCACATGGACAGATGGAAGAAGAGACAGCTAGCTACAAAGAGAGGGGGAAAATCTACAGAAAAACTCAAAAGTAATGTATGTCTTCACATGACAGCCTAATATGACTTACAGGCCTTAATAGACCCTAAGCGTCTCTGTATTAAGAATTACAACAGTATAATAATAACTTGTTTATAATCATGACTCTGCATCCTTAAGTAAAAGTTGATCTATGTTTTGCATACTTTGTTTAAAAGATGAATCAAATTAAAAGTAGGAAATAAGTTTTATACCTATCCCTATCAAAAATATGGGAGCTCTGGTAGCATAGTGCCTAAGGCACTTGACTGCTAACCAGAAGGGGTGGTTCAAACCCACCAGCCACTCCTCAGTAGGAAGGTTGGGCAATCTACTTCCATAGTGATACTACCTCAGAAATCCAAGGAGGGGTTGCTATGAGTCGGTCCGACTCAACGGCACATAACAACAACAACAACATCAAAAATATGCAAAACACTCCTTACAGCTGTTGGTGCTTTAAGTGAAGAGTTCAGTGATCTAGAAAATTACAGTACAGGATACCATTGTCCCTTAGGATTACAGTAGCTTCACTGTGTTACTCAATATGTAGTGGGATCTTTTAAGATATGATAACATACGTTTGATGACTGGCTGGCCGTCTAGTCACATTACAGACGCGATATTTTCGTTTCATCTGTCCACAGTGGGTCACCTCAACTTTAAGACCTAAAGTTAGGAGGGAATAAAAAAGTGAAACATCAGTATTAGTTCAAAGCATAGTGACTAAAACAGATTCATATATCAAATGCTGTCTCCAAAAAGGCATAACATTGTACAGGACAAACATTGCAAAGATATAGGGAAAATAAAATCTTCTGCAGGCAAAAAGCATCAGCTAAACAGAAGAACACATGATTTAAGGTGCTCATCTGAGTTTAATTCATTCAATAAATATTTATTAAGCATCCACTATGTTCTGGAGAGAGATATAGATGTACATACACACATATATGTACACACACATACACACACATATATGTATGTGTGTGTACATATATGTGTGTATGCATATATCTACACACACAAATGGATGGATGGATGTTCTGGCAAGGTGCCCTGGTGGCACAGTGTTTAAGTACTTGGCTGCTAATCAAAATGTCAGCAATTTGAACCTACCAGCTGCTCCATGGGAGAAAGATGTGGCAATCTACTTCCATAAAGATCATAGCTTTGTAACCCCTATGGGGCAGTTCTACTCTGTCCCACAGGGTCCCTATGAGCCAGAATCAACACTATGACAATGGATTTAGTTTTCGGTTTGGTATGTTCTGGCACTTAGTCTAAGGTCTGGAGATAGCCTTCATGAAGGTTATATTGTAGTGAGAAGACAGCTAACAAGTCAACAAGAAAAGACACTCCAAAAGGAGATTAAATGAATTTGTGTTGTTTTATTAAGATGGAAGAATTTAAGTGGGTAAGGGTAACATTTACTGAGTGTTGTATATGTGTCAGGTACTGTGCTAGAAGCTTTGTAAACCTAATTGTATTTAATTATCACAACTCTACAAGATGCACATTCTTATCTTTATGTTGTTGTTTTATAGATGAAAAAATTAAGGCTCATAGTGGCCAAGTAACGTGATCAAGGCCCCACTCACTGGCTGGACTAAATGGAAGCCCAGGTCTTTTTAACTCCAAAGCCCATGCTCCTGGCACAACACTAAGCTGCCTTGCCAAGACTGCACTAATGCAAACACCTACCTCTGATTTCTTTGGTAAACTTGACACGCTGGGAGTCTGTTAGTGGTTTGGTCTGTTCATTGATGTTCTGAATGTCTAAAACCTCACACATGAACTCAATGATAGGCTGAGCCCGGTAGAAAGCAGTTGCAGATACTAGCAAACAGAGAGGAAGGATACTTAGCTCAGGGAAAGGAAAAGGACCAAAAACACTTTCAAAAGTGTACTGGTAGAGAGTTCCATCATACCATCAATATTGAGCATCATATTCCACATAGCAGGTCTCACAGACTGATGGAAGCCAAACCAAACTTCCCTGCCCCCTCCTAGAGGGTGGTAGTAACCTTCAGGAGGTGAGAAAAAGGAACGGCCCACTGGAGTGTACCTAAAGAAATAAGAATTGCATGTTTCACAATAAAAATTTGAAAGGTCTCTCATTTCATTTCCAACTTCATGAACTGAAATCAAACTTGAGATATGATTTATGCAGAAACTTTTCAATGGCTCTGTGCAACCTCCCCAAATCATCTGATATTTGTGGAAAAGAATTCAAACCAAAATACTAACCTCATAGAGGGAAGGTGTCTTGTGATAACATCAAGTGCTTGTACTGAGTCATCTGGGACTTCATTCAAGTGTCCAGCCAAAGCTTCTAAAAGCAACTGAAGGCTTACGACAGACACCCACTGAACAGACACTTTAAAGGTTTGATCTTTACCCTCACCTGGCAAGGTCACCTCCATATCAACCTAAAGAAAAAAATACATACATACACACATACTTACAAACACTGTGGGAAAGATCCCAGGAATATTCAATATAGTATATGCCTAAGAAACTTTATTTTAACATTCTCTGCAGTTGTAAGACATTGGAAACAATCTAAAGTGTCCATTAATAAGGGACTGAAATGGAATCTTATGCAATAGTTAAGAAATAAGGTAGATCTGAACGTACAGAAATGGAAAGATCTCCCAGATATGTTGTTAAATAAAAACCAATCATTGAACAATATGGGGGAAGAAAAAAGAGCACAGGAGAGAGAGAATAGAAGAGCCAATACACATAAAAGTATCTGAAAGAATATATACCAACTGTTATCAGTAGTTTCCTCTGAAAAGGAAAAAGGAATTGAGAGGTGCAAGCAGGCAGGGAGGCTGGAAGCTACCACATTTCCAAATGGTCTGAATAAGTTTAAATGAGCATATATTCATGGAATACTTTTCTAACTTAAAAGCATATATATATATATATATATATATATATATATATATATATATATATTAATTATTATACTCAAAAAGTTAAACATAGAATTACCATATCACCCAGCAATTCCATTCTTTGGTATATATCCAAAATAATTTAAAACAGGGACTCAAGGAGATATTTGTGCACCAGTGTTCATAGCAGCCTCACAATAGCCAAAAGATAGGAACAACCCCAGTGTCCATAAATTGATGAACGGATAAACAAAACGTGACATATACATACAACGGAATATTACTCAGCCATAAAAGGAATAAAGTACTGATGCATGTTACAACATGGATGAACCTTGAAAACATTATGCTAAGTAATTAAGCCAGACACAAAAGGACAAATACTGTATGATTCCACTTATGTGAAGTACCTAGCATAGGCACATTCATGGAGACACAAAGTAGAATAGAGGTTACCAGGGGCTGGAGGAAGTGGAAAGTGGGGAGTTATTGTCTGATAGGTATGGAGATTCTATTTGGGATGATGAAAACATTCTAGAAATAGATAGCAAAGAGGGTGACACAACAGTGTGAACGTACTTCCTGCCACTGAGTAATACTCTTTAAAATTTATGTTAATTTTGTGTTATGCATATTTACCACAATTTAAAAAAAAATGCAAATAACAAAGTTGTTACGGTATTGTGCATCTAAACCAAACCTATTTTCCCAAGAGAGTATTATATAATTGTCTATAATTTCTAAAAACTAATTGTTCAGATTCAGGTAGCACTTTAACAATGGGAGGATCTCTGAATATGTGGAAAAATGGCATCTATCAACCTAAATTCTAATGCTCATCTCATCTTCAATCTTTGATTCACCAAGGGACAGGAGGATACAAATCTGTCATCACCATGAGAAGCTATTCTAAAAATCAAATTCTCATTAGAAGGGAAGCATTGTCATGCTGTTAACACTCACCCGATCTCGTCCAATTGGCAGGGGATGTGCTGTGTACATGTTTCTTTTGCCATCATAGCCAGGCTGCCGATCACCAAATATCTGCATCTTGAAGTGCCGCACCATCGTGTCTACTACCTCCCTTAACAGTAATGGAGATACTGGCAGTTAGCTTTGTGAAAGGATGAACAGTAAGGAAGCTATCACAAGACCTGTAAATCTAAATTCAGAGCAAATCTACTGGAGGCTGAAGAGTTAAAGTAATTTAAAAAGTAGCTAACCAAAGAAATGTAGCAACAAGTTAGCAAAAGCAACTATGAGATGATAACATAAGGAGGTTAAAAAAAAAAAAAAAAAAAGAGCCTAAGATTGATGGCATCCTCTCAAACTCCTGCTTTCTAAAACCCTCTCCTATAATAAACAGCATTGTAAGAATAACCTATCTTGGGTATCTAAGTTTTACAAGGATATTCAGCACCAAATAATGATAATTTATCAAATCACCATCCTTACTTAAGTATACTGGTTTTGGAAAAGAGAGCAGACAGAAATTTAGAAATCTGTAGATCAATGTACCTAAGATATATCACACCCAAAGGAATAAGTTGACCACTTTGCCTAACATTGCTGATACAGTATTCTGTGTACTGTTTTGTTTTATTTCACATGTTCCCAAGCAGTGCAGAGAAGGAAATGTTGTAAAATAATCTCATGGCAAAATAATTACTGATGTAATTTATTTCTTTTTAAAATAGAAGCCTTTCTCTTAATCAAGCATGTGTAGCTATCCTTAGGTGTTCTTGGATATATGAAAGCTCATACTGTATACAGACCATGAAATAAAGGCAGCTGCAAGGAAACTGGAGCATACAGTTTAAGACATGGACAGAGCTGGGTCTGTGAGATCTTGCAATACTAGAGTCAATGAAAAGTCAGGTGCTATACGTGTGCAAAGGAGCTCTAGTGGCGCAATGGCTAAGGCGTTTGGCTGCTAGTCAGAAGGTTGGAGGTTCAAGTCTATCCAGTGGAGCCTCCTAAGAAAGGTCTCATGACCTACTTCTGAAAGATAATAGCCATCGAAAATCCTGTGGAGCACAGCTCTATTCTAACACTCATGGAGTCTCTATGAGTCAGAATTGACTTGACAGTAACTGGTGAGTTATTTTAATGCACAGCCTTACCAACACTCATGAGCTCCATGTGTGGGAACTGTATCTTTAAAGCCAAAATACATCACATCTAGCATTAGCATTATTACAAATGAAATCTGTGGCAGAGTCATATGGTAAAGTCACATGCAACTGAAAAAAAAAAAAAATGGATGGAAAATGTATTATCATATATTTCCCATAATAAAGTTAATTTAAAAACTGTGCTTTTTCATACTGGGAAAGGGTAACCTCTTGCTTTATATCCTTAAATTATAACTATAAAGAGTTGTATAGTGACCAAGATATTTTAACATCTATGCTCATTTAATTTTCACAATAACCTTGTGACAAGTTAAGCAACACTGTTGTCCTCATATTAAAGAGAGAAATAAAAATTCAGAAAGGGCAAGTGACCTGCCCATGGTAACTCAGTTATTAAGTGGCAGAGCTACATTGACCTTGAACAAGTTTCTTAATCTGTCACATATCTGTTTCTCCATCTGTAAAATGATGACAATAATAATAATAATACCTACCTCAGAAGGTTGTTGTATCAAATGAATAAATCCACATAAAGTATTTAGAACAGCGCTTCTCACACGGTAAGCCTACCCACTCTGGTCAGCTAATAGATATCACTCCAGAAATCTTCCTCTATCCTGAATCTTCAACATTTCCCTCCTACTTGATTGTAATTTTGCCAATCTCAAAAGAAATTACACTTTCTTGACCCCACTTCTTCCTTCTCTAAACATCCCATTGTTCTGCTACTCTTCAAAATCCCTTGAAGGAGTTGTCTTTAATTATTCTTCTTTCTCATTTAAACCTTCCCAAGTCAGGCTTCTCCACCAAAACTACTTTTATCAGGGTACTCAGTGAGTTCCACTTGCTAAATCCAATGCTACTTGAAATTTATCATTAGATGATAAATTCTTCCAACTTAAAACATCTTCTTCCCTTGCCTCCAGGGCACCACTCTTTCTTGGTTTTCTCCTATCCCAACAGCCCCTCAATCCCAGTCTTGCTGCTGCTATTTCCCCACCTCCTAACCTCTAAATATTGAATTGCCTCCAGGTTCATTATTGGAGTCTTATTTTGTCTAATCACTCTTCCTATTTGTCCACATCCCATCTCATGGTTTTAGCACCAATATGCTGATGTCACTCTCAAATGTCTGTCCCCAGCTTGGACCTCTCCCCAGAACACTAACCTCATATATTCAACTTCTTGCTCAATATCTCTTTCAGGACATCTATAATAGACATCTCAACCTAACATTTCTAAAACATGTCTCCTGATCTGCCTCTCCAAAACCTGCTCCTCCCATATTCTTTCCATCCTAATTAATGTTAATTCTGTTTTTCCACTTGCTTAGGACAAACACCCTAGAATTAATCATGACTCATGTCACACTCTCACACAAAAGGTTCAATCCATCAGCAAAACTTGTTATTATTTTCAAAATATTTGTAGAATTTGATCACCTCTCATTACTATGATTTTTACTACGCAGATCAAAGTCACTATCACCTTTTATCTGATTACCAGTGCCTCCCAATTGATTTTCCTGCTTTCATCCTTACCTGCTTAGATAAGGATGTGCCCATTTTCAACATAGCAGCCAGAGCAATCCATTAAAAAGCAAAGTCAATCATATGTGCCACTGCCTACATAGGGCCCAATGGAGTTTCTCTTATCTTGTCTTCTATCATTCTCTCCCTTTCTTACTCCAGCAATAGAGACCTATTTGCTAATACTTAAATATGCCAAGCAAGCTATCACCTTTGCCTGGAATACTCTTCAACTAGAAGGTGGGAAGGTCAGGGTTGATGGCAGCTGGATCCAGGTAAGGGGAGGGAAAGAGCCCCCACCCAAGGCAGGAAGGTGGGAAAGCCAGGGCCAATGGCGGCCAGATCCTCTCCGGTGGTGGAGAGGTTTGGAACAGCTAAGGGAGACAAACTTGTCTGTCAATTTGTCCTACTGTGGTGGCTTGCATGTTGCTGTGAGCCTGGAGGCTGTGCCACTGGTGTTTCAAATGCCAGCAGGGTTGCACATGGTGCACAGGTTTCAGCAGAGCTTCCAAACTGAGACATACTCGGAAGAAGGAAGAGACTACCCACTTCTCAAAGAATTGGCTGAGGAAAACCTTATGAATATCAGAGCCTGAAATATTACTGGACTGATACATTACTGGACACTTTAAGGAAAAATCCTGCAAACATCTATTAATAATCAGAACATGGAATTGTATGAAGTATGGATTTAGGAAAATTGGAAGTTGTCAAAAATGAAATGTAACTCAGAAAAATTGATATCCTAGGCATTAATGAGCTGAAATGGACTGGTTTTGGGCATTTTGAATCAGACAACCATATGATCTACTATGCTGGGAATGACAAATTGATGAGGCATTCATCATCACAAAGAATCTCTCAAGATCTGTCCTGAAGTACAATGCTATCAGTGATAGGATAATATCCATTCACCTATAAGGAAGACCAGGAGCTCTAGTAGCATAGTGCCTAAGGCACTGGACTGCTAACCAGAAGGCTGGTAGTTCAAATCCACCAACCACTCCTCGGAAGGAAGGTTAGGCAATCTACTTCCGTAGTGATATCACCTCGGCAACCCAAGGAGGGGTCCCTATGAGTCAGGGCAACTCGAGGGCACATAACAACAACAACATAAGGAAAACCAATTAATACTACTGTCATTCAAATTTATGCACCAACCACTAAAGCCAAAGATGAAGAAATTGAAGATCAACTTCTGCAGTCTGAAACTGACTAAACATGCAATCAAGATGTGTTAATTATCATTGGTGATTGGAATGCAAGAGTTGGAAACAAAGAATCGTTGGTAGCTGGAAAATTTGGTCTTGGTGACAGAAATAACACTGGAGATGACATGATAGAATTTTGCAAGACCAATGACTTATACATTGCAAATACCTTTCTCCAACAACACAAATGGTGGCTATACATATGGACTTCACCAAATGGAGTACACAGGCATCAGACTGACTACATCTGTGGCAAGAGGCAATGGAAAAGCTCAGTATCTTTAGCCAAAACAAGGCCAGGAGCTGACTGTGGAACAGACCATCAACTGTTCATATGCAAGTTCAACTTGAAGTTAAAGACAATTAAAACAAGCCCACAAAGCCAAAATATGACCTTGAATATATCCTGCCTGAATTTAGAGACCATCTAAAAAATAGATTTGATGCACTGAACACCGATGACCAAAAACCAGAAGAATTGTGGGATGAACACCAAGAACATCATCCATGAAAAAAGCAAAAGGTCATTAAAAAGACAGGAAAGTAAGAAAAGACTAAAACAGATGTCAGAAGAGACTCTGAAACTTGTCCTTGGACAGAGAGTTGTTGTTATAGGCCGTCGAGTCAGACCTGACTCATAGTGACCCCTCCTTGGGTTTCCAAGGCAGTATCACTACGGAAGTAGACTGCCCCATCTTTGCACTCAAGTAAGATCTTACTGAAGATAACTCAAAAATGGTTGCAGCAGTATATTGACAGAAAACATCCAGAAATGTAAGCTGGATTCAGAAGAGGACGTGGAATAAGGGATATCATTGCTGATGTCAGATGGATCTTGGCTGAAAGCAAAGAATACCAAAAAGATGTTTGCTTGTGTTTTATTGACTATGCAAAAGCATTCAATTGTGTGGATCATAACAAATTATGGATAACATTGAGAAGAATGGGAATTCCAGAACACTTAATTGTACATAGACAAGGAGGTTGTTGTTTGAACAGAACAAGAGGACACTGCATGGTTTAAAATCAAGAAGGGAGTGTGTCAGGATTGTATCCTTTCACCATACTTATTCAATCTGTATGCTGAGCAAATAATCCAAGGAGGTGCACTATATGAAGAAGAACATGGCATCAGGATTGGAGGAAGAATCATTAACAACCTCCGATATGCTGATGACACAACACTGCTTGCTGAAAGTGAGGATGACTTCAAGTACTCACTGATGAAGACTGAAGACTAGGGTCTGCAGTATGGATTACACATCAATATAAAGAAAACAAAAATCCTCACAACTGGACCTAGAAGCAGCAGCATGATAAGTGGAGAAAAGATTGAAGTTGTCAAAGACTTCATATTGCTTAGTTCTACAATCAACACTAGTGGAAGCAGCAGTCAAGACATCAGATGACATATAGCACTGGGCAAATCAGCTGCAAAAGACCTCTTTGAAGTGCTGAAGAGCAAAGATGTCTCCTTGAGGACTAAGGTGTGCCTGACTGACACAAGCCTCATATGCACGTGAGAGCTAGACAATGAATAAGAAGACTGAAGAAGAGTTGATGCTTTTGAGTTGTGCTGGCGAAGAATGCTGAAAGTACCATGGACTGCTAAAAGAACTAACAAATCTTTCCTGGAAGAAGTGCAGTCAGAATGCTCCTTGGAAGTGAGAATGGCCAGACTTTTGTCTCATCTACTTTGTAAGAAGGAACCATTCCCTGGAGAAAGATATCATACTTGGTAAGGCAAAGGGTCAACGAGGGGAAGGCCCTCAATGATATGGATTGACCCAGTGGCTGCAATGATGAGCTCAAGTAGTATAGCAAGGATTATGGAGCTGGCGCAGGACTGGGCAGTGTTTCATTCTGCTGTGTATGGGGTTGCTATGAGTCAGAGATGACTCGATGGTATCAAACAACAACATATACCCCTTACTTCCTCATTTCTTCCCAAATGTCACTTTTCAGTGAGATCTTCCATAACTATATTAAAACAAATTTTATATGAACATGAATATAAAAACAAATATATCAGTGGCTTGCCCCACTTTCATTCCTTATCTTCTATCCCTGCATTATTTTTCTCCATAACACTTATTATTGCTAACAAATAATATGTTTATTAATTATGTGTTTATTTCTGGTCTTCTCCCACTACATATAGAGAACTCTGGTGGTTTAGTGCCTAAGGCCTTTGACTGCTAACTAGAAGGCTGGTTGTTCAAACCACCAGCCACTCCTTGAAAGGAAGACTGGGCAATCTACTTCCGTAGAGATACTGCCTCGGAAACCAAAGGAGGGGTTGCTATGAGTCGGGTCTAACTCGATGGCAGTAAGTTTGGTTTTTTTTTGGTTTGGACCCACTAGATATAAACTCCTCAAGGGTGGGAATTTTACCTGTTTTGTTCATGTTATATACCCAGTGCCTTGAACAATACTTGGCATATAGTAAGTACTCAGTAATATTTGCTGAATGAATCAATGTTAGCCATTGCTACCACTTCTACTAGGACTGATCTCTCAGTCACATAATAGCCAAACTGTTATGACCTCACATGAGACTGAACACTGTACGAGAAAGCCAAATTACTGATTTGTAAAACAGCACAAAATACTTCATTCGACAGAAAGAGTATTCTTAGAAAAGCAAGACTCTTAATAATATCAAAGACTGCTAGAATAACGCTACATGGAATCAGAGAAAAGCAAAGTGGTTATTCTCAGCATGTTTGCTACAGGTCTATGTGCTCACAGTTGGTAGAGTTCTCCCATATAGACCACAATATTTCTCTCTCAGCAGAACTCCTCTTGGACAATGCTAGACATAGAACTTACATTTTGCACTACACCAAGATGATTTTTCTGTCTTATACTTACTTTTTTTTTCATGTCCAATTACATTTAATAATAAAATTTGAATTTCCAGGTAGTTTTCTTTCCCACTGACACTGATGTCTTCACTTATTTTATCAATTTCTGCTAATCTTGGACAATACAAGAGTGACCTTTTTTCTCTTTCATTCAGTAACTATTTACTGATTGACTAATTATGTATCTAGCACTCCGCTAGGATCTGCAGAAGATACCCAAGTATGAGACAGCACACCTACCATCAAGAAGCTTATCATCTGAGAGAAAAACAAAGGCCACATGTTGAAAGAATTTACAGAATAATGTGGGTGGTACATAATAACTTATATGCATTTAAATGTATAGAACTCTATTTTTTTCTATTCCTTACCTGTTGACTCTGCGAGGCCGTTTTTCTGGTTTAATATCCACATCATAGTGATATACATCTATTTTAGGAATCTGAACCTGAAAATGATTGGCTAACAGTCGAATTGGTTTTCCAACAGTCCCAAGGCCAGGACGACGAGGTGGCTGAAACAAGCTGGCTGGAGGTCCTAAGGAGATTGAAAGACATTTGATATGCTATTTATTTGGTCATGAAGAATAATATCCCTTAATACTGATGATGATGATGATAGCTACAATTATTGAGATCTTATTATTCACTGAACATATTGTGATAGAAAGAGTTCAGAGTGTCTCTTAAATTTAGGTTTCTAAATATTTTGCCATGTTGTTATTTTGAATTTGGGGATGTCAAAATTAGATAGCTTGATAAATTCCTCTCAGATGTAGACTACTATATAAAACCTTTCATGAGCATTAGTGACTCTTTAGCTTGGCTTGTAACATTATACATATTTTAAAATAAAACCATACCTAAACTCTGGGGGTCATCAGTATGTTCAGGCTGGAGATGATATATTAATCCTTTATAAATGAGCCTCCATTATCATGTTGTTGTTGTGGTTGTTGTTATGTGCCATCGAGTCAGACCTGACTCATAGTGACCCCTCCTTGGGTTTCCGAGGCAGTATCACTACAGAAGCAGGATTGCCCAACCTTCCTTCCGAGGAGTGGCTAGTGGGTTTGAACCGCCAGCCGTCTGGTTAGCAGTCAAGTGCCTTAGCCACTATGCTACCAGAGCTCCATTATCATAGGCTGTCCATTTTCTGACATCTACAGGGAACTGCCAGAAATTCAAGCTAGATTCGGAAGAAGACATGGAATGAGGGATATCATTGGTGATGTTAGATGGATCTTGTCTGAAGGCAGAGACTACCTAAAAGATGTTTATCTGAGTGTTTTCTTTTTTTTCCTTTTTCATAGATAAAAAAAATAATAAACAACTTTTTATTGTGGTTTGGGTAAAAGTTTACAGGGCAAATTAGTATTCCATTCAACATTTTATAAACATTTTGTTTCATGGCATTGGTTGCACAGCACACAATGTAACAGCACTAGTCCCACTTCCTCTCTGTGTTCCCCATTTCCATTTGTCTTTCTTTCCTGCCACCTTTTGCCCTCTGTGCTTTGTTTTTAGGCAAATGCTGCCCTTGTTTACTTGTGTTTTATTGATTATGCAAAGGCATTTAAGAAATTATGGATGACACTGTGAAAAAATGGGAATTCCAGAACATTTAGTTATGTTCATGAGGAACCTGTACATATAGACCAGGAGGCAGTCATTCAAACAGAACGAGAGATATTGTGTGGTTTAAAATCAGGAAGGCTGTGTGTCAGGATTGTATCCTTTCATCATACTTATTCAATCTGTATGTTGAGCAAATAATCCCAGAAGTTGGATTATATGAAGAAGAACATGGCAACAGGATTGGAGGAAGACTTGTTAACAACCTTTGAGATGCAGATGACACAACCTTGCTTGCTGAAAGTGAAGAAGACTTGAAGCATTTATTGAGGAAGAGCAAAGCCTTCAGTATGGATTACATCTCAACATAAAGAAAACAAAAACCTTCACAACTGGACCAATAAGCAACATCATGATAAATGGAGAAAAGATTGAAGTTGTCAAGGATTTCATTTTATTTGGACCCATAACCCATGGAAGCAGCAATCCAAAAATCAAACAATTTTCATTGGGCAAATCTGCTGCAAAAGACCTCTTTAAAATGTTCAAAAGCAAAGATGTCACTTTGAGGACTACGGTGTGCCTGACCCAAGCCACAGTATTTTCAATAGCCTCAAATGCATGTGAAAATTGGACAATGAATAAGGAAAATTAAAGAAGAATTGATGTCTGTGAACTATGGTGATGTTGAAGAATACTGAATATACCATGCACTGCCAGAAGAATGAACAAATCTGTCTTGGATGAAGTACAGCCAGAATGTTCCTTATAAGTAAGGATGGAAAGATTTTTCTCTCTTGTACTTTGGACATGTTATCAGGAAGGACCATACCCTGGATAAGGACATCATGCTTTGTAAAATAGAGGCCAACAAAAAAGGGAAAGACCCTCAATCAGATGGATTGACACAGTGGCTGCAGCAACAGGCTCAAACACAGCAACGATTGTGAGGATGGTGCAGGACCAGACAATGTTTTCTTCTGCTTTGCAGGGGGTCACTATGAATTGGAACCAACTTGATAGCACCAACAACAACAATCATAGGCTGCACAGACAGGAGATTCAACAGAAGCTACGTTAATCAATTTACTTGCTGAGTTTGATAGTGAAACAATACCAGTAATGTTAGCCAAACATTCTTGTCTATAATCTGATATTTTTAGAATCTGGACAGTCTAAGATTCTCCTGATCATAAGGTCTGGTTTATCCATTCAACAGATGATTATTCATTTCTAACATACCTAACCTGCACTATGAACTCAAAACTGAGCCCTTCCCCTCAAGAAACTTACAATCTAGACCAGGGGTTCTCCACCAGGAAAGATTTTGTTCCCTCCCTCAAGAAACATTTGGCAAATGTCTGGTGATATGTTTTGGTTGTTAGAACATGAAGGGTGCTACTGGTGTCTAGTAAACCAGGTGCTACTGGGTAAAGTCTAAGGATACAGATAAACATCCTAAAATGCACAGAACAATCTGCCACAACAGAGTTATCTAGTCCAAAATATCAACAGTGCTGATGTCAAGAAACACTTATCTAGACAGAGAACTCTTTTCAAACTATTTACTGATGATTCACAAGATGTTCCACAAAAGAAGGATTCTATAAGTTAAAGACACCTGACACATTTGTTTCCCTTCTCCAAATTCTACAATATGTTATCATAGTAACTTCTCTAATCATGTAATAAATTAGCTAGTTTAACATTAACATCTCATTTATCCAACTTATTTTGCCCAGAACTCTTATTTATTTTTGATTTATTGAACATCTATTAATATCCAGCATAAAAGGGTTTATGCAACATGGTTTGGGAGATACTTGTCTTGAGAAAACCTGGCTCCCCTTTGATGATAACATCAAGTGGACATAGGCCTAAAAAACAAACATCTTTTCTGCGATGAGTAAGTGTTGAGTAAAGTGGACTGTGGTTACAATACGTTCTCTTACTGAAATGACATTTCACTGAGAACAAAGACAACTCACTTAGGAGAGAGAACTTTGAAGCAAAAAGCTGCTCTGGTCCAACACTTAAGATCAGAGCAAACACTGTAATGAAATTTGTATCTATTGGTGACAGATCACCTTATACTAACTTTTACTTTGATTTTTAAAGCATTGAAAATATTTTCACATATTAAATTATTCCTTCTTTCCCTAAATTCTTAAAAAATAATGAGAACCAGTGGCCACTGAGTTGATTCCAACTCATGGAAACCCCATGTGTGTCAGAGTAGAACTGTGCTCCACAGGGTTATCCATGGCTGATTTAACTTATCTTCAAAACTCAGTTCAAATATGACTGGCTTGAAAAGTCTTTCCTGGTTCTCCCAGTCTGAAATATCTGTCCTCTGTGTTCCCAAGACTGTCTATACAAGGGAAAACTTAACGCAAGTATGTAGAAACCACTTGTTAAATTACTGTCTCCTCCACTAGACTGTAAGTTCTTGGAAGAAATGGATATCTGGTTAATGTTGTCTCCTTAGTTCAATGATCAGAGCATTGCATGAATTCAATAAAATGTATTTTTCAGTAAAGCAAAAGCACATCATTTATATGTGATAAAAGTATTATCACTTGAAGTTGAGCGCTACTCTGGCATACAAGGAGGTCTAATCTGGGTAGTGATAAGAGATTTATAAACAAGATGTTATTATTAGTGAGAGCTCTGTGTGGTGTAGTGCCTAATGCATCTGACTGCTAACCAGAAGGCTGGTGGTTCACAATAGTGGACTCATACATTTGTCCTTCTGTGGTTAATTTATTTCACTCAGCATAATGTCCTCTAAGTTCATCCACATTATGAGGTGTTTTGCAGATTCTTCATTGTTCTTTAGCATTGCATAGTATTCCATTATGTGTATGTACCATAGTTTGGTTAAACATTCATCTGTTGGTGGGTATTTAAGGAGCTCTGGTGATGCATTGGTTAAACGTTTGGCTGCTAACTAAAAGGTTAGTGAATCACATCCACCAGCCACTCTTCAGAAGAAAGATTGAGCAATCTACTTCTGGAGAGATACCACCTCAGAAACTGAAGTTGGGGTGGCTATGAGTCGCATCAACTTGATGGGAGTGAGTTTGGGTTTTATTTGGTTATTATTAGTTGCCATTGAGTCAATTTTGTCTCATGGCAACGCCATGTATATAAGAATAGAACTGCTCTATAAAGTTTTCAAGGCTGTGATCTCTGGGAAGCTGATCACCTCTGGTGCCTGTGAGTGGGTTCAAACCACCAATGTCTCAGCTGGTAGTCAAGTGCTTAAACATTTGCACCATACAGGGACTCCATAAACAAGGTAAAAGGTAAATAATAAATAATGTCTGAAGGTGACAGGCATTCCAATTAGCCCAATCAAGTCATAAATAAGTCAGCTCTGCATATGCCGATGTATCATGAAGCTAGAAGAAATGTGCCATTATGACGAAGAAATGCTTGCAATCATTAGCCGTTAGAGAAATGCAAATCAAAACAACAATGAGATATCATCTCACCCTAGCAATAATAGCAAAGTTCAACAAGACAAAAAATAACAAATGCTGGCAAAGATGTGAAGAGACTGGGACTGTCATACACTGCTAGTGGGACTGTAAAATGATATAATCACTGTAGAAAATGGTATGGCGCTTCCTTTAAAAGTTGGAAATAGAAATACCGTTTGATTCAGCAATCTCACTATTAAGTATATCCTAAAGAAGTGGGAATCAGGACATGAATAGATATATGCACGCCCATGTTCATTGTAGCACTATTCATAACACCAGAGATGGAAACAACTTAAGTGCCCATCAATCACCAAAACCAATCCCACTGCCATCGAGTCAATTCTGACTAAGAGCAACTTTATAGAACAAAGCAGAACTGCCCCAAAGGGTTTCCAAAACTGTAAATCTTTATGGAAGCTGACTGCCTCATCTCTCTCCTACAGAGTGGCTAGTGGATGTGATTCACTGACCTTTTAGTTAGCAGCCAAATGTTT